AAAAACTGGTCCATTGGAGTGAACGGAGTTGTCACACTCTGCATTTGAACAGTCAATAGCAAATACTTAAACTAATAACAAAACATACTTACAGTCGCTGATTCAGAAGCGCTAGATTGTCATAGCAAAGTCGGAATTGACCCACTTTTAGCCTTTGCACAGCCAGCCTTGTAGGCTAACTCTCCGGTTCGCAAAACTGTCGTCCATGAAATGCGTTGCACAAATTAAAGCATCTGGGTTGTGCTGTTCTGTTGTAACTAAATCTTAACCAATGATTCCTAATTGCATCTACTTCCGGAAGGCCAAATAAAGTGCTTTTGCTTTCGCACTGAAATACACAGCGTCTCCCTGACATGGCTGCATCAACACTACTGCTGTTCCTGAAACCATGCCTTCTTTCTTTGCGTGCACATTTGGGCGGCATTATGCTAATATTTCCACATAGTGACGTAGATATGTGGGGGCGTGTTAGAACGAGCCGTTTTAGGTAGGGGTGGTTGACTCTTAACTTTTATAAAGAATATCTCTTTGGATTTGAGACTTTAGTCTTTGCAACTTTACAGATCTTCTTTATGCACCAAGAGCTTGTAACACTCCAAAGAGAAAGTAAAATTTGAAATCGCATCATATGACCCCTTTAACATTTTTTTTTCTTTTCAAGCAATGATTTTTTTTTTAATGTTTTTAGTTTTAGTTAACTATAATACCCTTGGTTCATGCTTGCTATGCTAAGAAATACAGTTCATTACAATAACCATAGACTGATTGTGGATGCAGCCTGGAAATGTCCTGAACTGGTACTGAAATATGAGGTCAGGCATGTTATTTATTTTTGTGATATTCATCCTAACATTCAAGAAACGCTGTGAAAATGTAATGGACAGAAAGGGGTTAAAAAAAAAAAAAGCAGGAACTAAAAGGACAGAAAGCAGGACAATGGACAGAAACCTTGAAGAAACAGGTCACTGACACAGATAAAACATCCAGGAAAAATCAGAGCAAGCAGAAAGTAGAAAGACGTTATTATTTGAAACTTACTCTCGACCACGGTCTTCCGATTTGACCCGTCGTCATTGATCTGCTGAATATTTCCAAAGTGGATGTCACTGTAGAAGATCCGATTGGCTCCTTTTCCACCTCCTCCGCGGTAATCAAACGTTAGCGCGATGACGTTCTTCATGTGGTCAGGATCTTCAAACGGTTTGATTGGTGCATTGAGGTTGTTTTCATCTGATAAGTGCACACTCTTTAGTATCGTGCGTTCTGAATACAGCAGGTATCCGTCGTAGTCACGGCAACTCTGACCGTCCTCGGCTAGCATTCCGTGAGCGCAAGCACATGTTCGCTGTCCATTACCACGGTAAAGACAGAGTTGCTGGCAGCCACCGTTGTTGTTCTTGCAGATATTAGTTCCTGCAGACAGATTTGTTTGAAACAGTTAAGAAATACTGCAACCAAGAAAAAAATCTGAATCTTTTTCATAGATTCAGTGATATTAGCATTAGCATGAGATCAATATGCAAAGTTAGTGACTCAGTTTATCAATCAGGAATTGAGACATTAACATGTTGACTATTTTATTTAAAACTGCTGTTTTGAACGATGAAGAAAAAAGATAGAGGAAAAAAAAAACTGAATATAAATAGTTTAAATGTTGATATTATTATATATTTAAGGTAAAAAAAAAAGTATTATAAATAAATAAATGTTATTAAGTTTCGGGTTTTGGGGAGTTGCACAACATGACATTTTAAACAGCATGAGATTTTAAAATACTATTAAGCAGTGAAGCGGAGATGTAACAATAAAACATTACACCAAACCAATGTTATTTTAGTATCATTGAGAATTTTTAGATTGAGATTTATTGTTTTTTATATATTTATTTATACTTATAGATTTCAAATTACCTTTTATTTTTGTATTTTCCATTTTAATTTTGATTTTAGTATTTTTTGTCATATTTATTAGTTATCATTTTTTTATGTCTATATTTTTTTATTAATTTTTATATACGTTTTTATTTTAGTTATTTTAGTACATTAAGTTAAAGAACAAGAACAAAGTTCTTTACAAAACAAAGTCATGTGACACTCACCTTGTTGTCGCGCTCTGTTAAAGACCTTGATGTCTTTGAGTTGGACGCCGATGCCCGTCCTCAGACTTACTGAATCTGTTGCATTGTCTTTACTGCCGCGCTTTATTGAACCATTCGCATGAGTCCTAAAGAAATAATATGCTTTTTTATTTGTTTATTTTTAAATAAATAAATAAAATAATAATTGTAATGTGCAATTTACATATGTATAGTTCATGTAAGACTTTTAACATATAAAAATTAGGTACTACAGCTTTAACATCATCTGGTTAGACTAAGTTCAAAGGCTCTTTAAATAGGGATAGCAAATAAAATAAAGGTGTATTAAAAATTCTATAAAATGTTCAATGCTGTAGATTAATCATCATGTTGGTGATGAGGAATGAATGTTTTAAAGTGTACAAGAACACACTGACCGGTCGCTCCAGTATATGTAGCTCTCAAACACAGATACGGAGAACATGTCCATGTTGTTGCTGGAAAGCACCACCTCTCTGTTCTCACCCGTCTCCAGGTTAATGCGCTCAATCTTATCTGTGCGCGCGTCGCACCAGTACAGCAAACCCTCCTACACGACACACAATGACCACAACTTTAGTCAGTGTTATTGTGTTTAGCATGCATCTGAGTCGTCTATTAATGAGAGGAAGTTGCTAATACATTTCTTCATGTAATTTGCAAATATGTCAGCTTTTTACCAAACTCTAGTGAGCTGCTTATCTAGACTTGTAGCACAAACAGCAGCCAGCTACCGATTTGTTAAATCATGCTAGAAACATGTTAGCAACATGCTAAAACATGCTAGCAAGGTGCTAAATCATGCTAGAGACATGCTAAAACTTGTCAGCATTGTGTTAATGCATGAGAGAAACCTGCTAGCAACATGCTAAAACATGTAGCAATGTGCTAATTCATTCTAGAAACATGCTATCATCATGTTAAACATGCTAACAAATTGTTAAATAATGCTAGAAACCTGCTAGCAATGTGTTAAAACATGCTAAAACATGCAAACAATGTGCTAATTCATTCTAGAAATGCTATCTATCTATCTATCTATCTATCTATCTATTTTGCTGTCTGATAGACAGTGGCTTTAAAACCTTCAAACTTCAAGCTTTTAAAACTGCTTCAAATTTAAAATCTTCAAACTTCCAGATATTAAATCTACTTCTAACTTTCTGAACAGGCTTTCTCAAGCCAACATCAAAGTTTGTCTTGTCAAACTTTACAATCTAGTTCCATTATTTTTTATCTTCATTTACAAGTGAAAATGTCACAATTCCAGTTTAATTGTGCAATGGTGTCAACTGTCCCTTTGCACCACCTGTGGTTTCTTGAACGAGTTTCACATGTGACTGGGTTGTATTTACCACCACGGCAGATGAAAAAGGTGGACAAAGTGAGAAAAACATTATAAATAAATGAATAAATGAATGACTGAATAAATAAAACTATGAATAAAAATGTGATCAATCTAATTAAAATGGATCTCACCCAATATGTCACTATATACTTTTATGCTTTTATCAAACTATCGCATAAATAAGCTTAGCAATATGCTACTATGGGTAGATCGATTCAAGATTCATGATTCATTTTCAATTTTGTTCAGGAATGCAAATTCAGAATGATTTGATTAGGTCCAATTCATAATGATATTCAGTTCGATTCGATCTTGATTAATGATCCAATTCTGTATTTTTAAAGAGCATTCATCTGATTACAGTATGGAAATGCTTCTCCTGATGTGTTTATCCTATAGAGAATGCCATGAGGTTTTCATGTAAAAAAAAAAGCATTTTAAATAAATTATTGACTGAAGCAAACGATTCACGATTCAAATTCCATGTTTCAAGATCTATGTATTGGCAGGATTTGTAATCGATGCATCAATAAACGAGTCAATGGTTACACCCCTAGTGCTTACTAGAGATTAAAAGTATGATATTCACACAGAGTTGACATAAATGTGTCATATGCACCTGATAGTCAATGGAGATGCCGTTGGGCCAGCTAATACTGACGTTCACCAGCACAGCTCTGTTAGATCCATCCAGACGAGATCTTTCTATGCGTGGATACTGTCCCCACTCCGTCCAAAACAGATACCTGCACACACAACCCCCCATGAGGAGAGTGCCGCTTCATTCATGGAGCAGAAACGCACAATAAAAGACAGGAAGTCAGCGTTATTCGGATCTCACCCTTTCTCAGGATGTACAGTAATGGCCCGCGGTTTGTCCAGTCCTTGGGAGATGACCACATATCGAAAGGAGCCATTCAATCTGGCAACCTCTATCACATCAAAGCCCTGGTCCGTCCAGTAGATGTTTCCTACAGCACATACAGGAACAAGGCAGTAGTGCTCGGTATTGTATTAAAGCTCTGAATGCACCTGAAAGTGGCAAAAGTGCCTGTGCTTGAGACTCACCGGCGATCCAGTCGACAGCGATGCCCTCCACACGGCCGATGCCATTAGTGACGATGTCCTCTCTCCACGTCTGATCTCTCTTAGCTCTGCTGATGGTGCTCAAACCCATGTCAACCCAAAAGATGGTGTCATTGTCTATATGACGATGGAAAGAACACGAATATGAATTACAGAATAGACTACATACAGTTACAGGAAAAATACAAACAAACAAAAAACAGATATACACTTGGTCATCATTCAACTGCATAGCATCCTTTGAGACCACTACAGTTTTCCCAATATCAAAATGCCAGTACATATCAGAAACCAGTACATTTTTACAATTCATGATACAAATTTCAATATTCCAATATGCCGCAATATGCTATCGAACACTCCTTTTTAGGGCTGCCAAAAAAAAATTCGAATTTCGAATATTCGTCGAATTAAAAAAAAAAAAATCACATTCGAATGCAAAAACGTTGCATTCGAATTTTAGGTCTGCGTCAGCCGTCAGGCAGCCTTATCAGTGGCACACGAAATGCGACGACAATGTAAGTGTCATTGCATTTTAATGCTTTTGTTAGCCTATCCAGCTGAACCCACTACATGCGGCGCTGCTACGTTGTTCATTCATATATTGCGGAAAACGAGAGCATCAGTGTGGAGAAGATGTTGTTTACGGCAAAACTAAAACCAAGCCGTTCACACAGAACGCATATTTATCACATTTTCTAGAGGGACGTCTATCGTTGCACTCGCGTCTCGCACAAGAGAGCGGCATGTTTAGAAAGCCATGTAAAATTAATGCAAGTTGAATACTGTGACCATGTGATATTTCAGTTTTTCTTTTTTAATAAATCTGCAAAAATGTCAACAATTCTGTGTTTTTCTGTCAATATGGGGTGCTGTGTGTACATTAATGAGGAAAAAAAATTAACTTAAATGATTTTAGCAAATGGCTGCAATATAACAAAGAGTGAAAAATTTAAGGGGGTCTGAATACTTTTCGTACCCACTGTATAAACCATACTGGAGCATATTCACATATATTCAGTTTACTGACAGGCAAACATAATTTTTCTTATTTGGAATGAGTTTCAGTCTTTTCCTGCTCAGTTTAACACCTGCTCATATTATACCACTATTGTACATCAGAAAACATCTGCATTATAAATCAGGAGCTTTGAGACTCACCGGCATGAAAATCAATCCCGACGGCGAGTGATGTGCCTGAAACTGGTACAAGGGCATCGGATTTGTCAGCGGGGTCCAGCGGGATTCCTCTAATGCCCTCATGAACAGAGTACAGCAGGAATGAACCCACACCTGAAATCAACACAACAACCACCACGCATCAGCCTGTTTCTACAAACGCAGGCTTTCGTTATTATTTTTTGCTACTTTTCAAATTCCTATACAGGTGCATCTCAATAAATTAGAATGTCGTGGAAAAGTTCATTTATTTCAGTAATTCAACTCAAATTGTGAAACTTGTGTATTAAATAAATTCAATGCACACAGACTGCAGTAGTTTAAATCTTTGGTTCTTTTAATTGTGATGATTTTGGCTCACATTTAACAAAAACCCACCAACTCACTATCTCAACAAATTAGAATACTTATTAAGACCAATAAAAAAAACATTTTTAGCCTTCTGGAAAGTATGTTCATTTACTGTACATGTACTCAATAACTTGGTAGGGTCTCCTTCTGCTTTAATTACTGCCTCAATTCGGCGTAGCATGGAGGTGATCAGTTTGTGGCACTACTGAGGTGGTATGGAAGCCCAGGTTTCTTTGACAGTGGCCTTCAGCTCATCTGCATTTTTTGGTCTCTTGTTTCACATTTTCCTCTTGACAATACCCCATAGATTCTCTATGGGGTTCAGGTCTGGTGAGTTTGCTGGCCAGTCAAGCACACCAACACCATGGTCATTTAACCAACTTTTGGTGCTTTTGGCAGTGTGAGCAGGTGCCAAATCCTGCTGGAAAATGAAATCAGCATCTTCAAAAAGCTGGTCAGCAGAAGGAAGCATGAAGTGCTCCAAAATTTCTTGGTAAACGGGTGCAGTGACGTTGGTTTTCAAAAAACACAATGGACCAACACCAGCAGATGACATTGCACCCCAAATCATCACAGACTGTGGAAACTTAACACTGGACTTCAAGCAACTTGGGCTATGAGCTTCTCCACCCTTCCTCCAGACTCTAGGACCTTGGTTTCCAAATGAAATACAAAACTTGCTCTCATCTGAAAAGAGGACTTTGGACCACTGGGCAACAGTCCAGTTCTTCTTCTCCTTAGCCCAGGTAAGACGCCTCTGACGTTGTCTGTGGTTCAGGAGTAGCTTAACAAGAGGAATACGACAACTGTAGCCAAATTCCTTGACACGTCTGTGTGTGGTGGCTCTTGATGCCTTGACCCCAGCCTCAGTCCATTCCTTGTGAAGTTCACTCAAATTCTTGAATCGATTTTGCTTGACAATCCTCATAAGGCTGCAGTTCTCTCGGTTGGTTGTGCATCTTTTTCCTTCCACTCAACTTTCTGTTAACATGCTTGGATACAGCACTCTGTGAACAGCCAGCTTCTTTGACAATGAATGTTTGTGGCTTACCCTCCTTGTGAAGGGTGTCAATGATTGTCTTCTGGACAACTGTCAGATCAGCAGTCTTCCCCATGATTGTGTAGCCTAGTGAACCAAACTGAGAGACCATTTTGAAGGCTCAGGAAACCTCTGCAGGTGTTTTGAGTTGATTAGCTGATTGGCATGTCACCATATTCTAATTAGTTGAGATAGTGAATTGGTGGGTTTTTGTTAAATGTGAACCAAAATCATCACAATTAAAAGAACCAAAGACTTAAACTACTTCAATCTGTGTGCATTGAATTTATTTAATACACGAGTTTCACAATTTGAGTTGATTCAGTCTGTGTGCATTGAATGTATTTAATACACAAGTTTCACAATTTGAGTTGAATTACTGAAATAAATGAACTTTTCCATGACATTCTAATTTATTGAGATGCACCTGTATGTATAGATTTTATTGTTTTACCCTTGTATTTCCCTCCAAGACTAAACTGAATATACATTACCGTTCAAAGTTTTGAAGGTTAGCACACCAAGGTTGCAGTATAAACAGTAATAATGTAAATAATAAAACTTTTTTTCAATTGTAATATATTTTAATATGCAATTTATTGTTGTGATCAAAGCTGAATGTTCAGCATCCTTTCAGCACCCAGTCTTCAGTGTCATATGATCCTTCAGAAATCATTCGAATATGCTGATTTATCAATACTGAAAACAGTTGTGTTGTAAACAGTGATACTTTTATTTTTTAAGGATTCTATGATGAATAGAAAGTTCAAAAGGACAGTATTTAAAATGGAAATCTTTTATAACATTATACAGGTGCATCTCAATAAATTAGAATGTCGTGGAAAAGTTCATTTATTTCAGTAATTCAACTCAAATTGTGAAACTCGTGTATTAAATAAATTCAATGCACACAGACTGAAGTAGTTTAAGTCTTTGGTTCTTTTAATTGTGATGATTTTGGCTCACATTTAACAAAAACCCACCAACTCACTATCTCAACAAATTAGAATACTCCATAAGACCAATAAAAAAAAACATTTTTAATGAATTGTTGGCCTTCTGGAAAGTATGCTCATTTACTGTACATGTACTCAATACATGGTAGGGGCTCCTTTTGCTTTAATTACGGCCTCAATTCGGCGTGGCATGGAGGTGATCAGTTTGTGGCACTACTGAGGTGGTATGGAAGCCCAGGTTTCTTTGACAGTGGCCTTCAGCTCATCTGCATTTTTTGGTCTCTTGTTTCTCATTTTCCTCTTGACAATACCCCATAGATTCTCTATGGGGTTCAGGTCTGGTGAGTTTGCTGGCCAGTCAAGCACACCAACACCATGGTAATTTAACCAACTTTTGGTGCTTTTGGCAGTGTGAGCAGGTGCCAAATCCTGCTGGAAAATGAAATCAGCATCTTCAAAAAGCTGATCAGCAGAAGGAAGCATGAAGTGCTCCAAAATTTATTGGTAAACGGGTGCAGTGACGTTGGTTTTCAAAAAACACAATGGACCAACACCAGCAGATGACATTGCACCCCAAATCATCACAGACTGTGGAAACTTAACACTGGACTTCAAACAACTTGGGCTATGAGCTTCTCCACCCTTCCTCCAGACTCTAGGACCTTGGTTTCCAAATGAAATACAAAACTTGCTCTCATCTGAAAAAAGGACTTTGGACCACTGGGCAACAGTCCAGTTCTTCTTCTCCTTAGCCCAGGTAAGACGCCTCTGACGTTGTCTGTGGTTCAGGAGTGGCTTAACAAGAGGAATACGACAACTGTAGCCAAATTCCTTGACACGTCTGTGTGTGGTGGCTCTTGATGCCTTGACCCCAGCCTCAGTCCATTCCTTGTGAAGTTCACTCAAATTCTTGAATCGATTTTGCTTGACAATCCTCATAAGGCTGCAGTTCTCTCGGTTGGTTGTGCATCTTTTTCTTCCACACCTTTTCCTTCCACTCAACTTTCTGTTAACATGCTTGGATACAGCACTCTGTGAACAGCCAGCTTCTTTGACAATGAATGTTTGTGGCTTACCCTCCTTGTGAAGGGTGTCAATGATTGTCTTCTGGACAACTGTCAGATCAGCAGTCTTCCCCATGATTGTGTAGCCTAGTGAACCAAACTGAGAGACCATTTTGAAGGCTCAGGAAACCGTTGCAGGTGTTTTGAGTTGATTAGCTGATTGGCATGTCACCATATTCTAATTAGTTGAGATAGTGAATTGGTGGGTTTTTGTTAAATGTGAACCAAAATCATCACAATTAAAAGAACCAAAGACTTAAACTACTTCAGTCTGTGTGCATTGAATTTATTTAATACACGAGTTTCACAATTTGAGTTGAATTATTGAAATAAATGAACTTTTCCACGACATTCTAATTTATTGAGATGCACCTGTATATGTCTTCACTGTAATTTTCAATTTAATGTGTCCTTGATGAATTTCTTCAAAAAAATACTGACTCCAAACTTTTAAACAGTAGTGTATGAAAAACGGATAAAAAATAATAAACAAAGAAACAATAAGAAATAAAATATATTATTTTATGAAAATTATTTGTTTTGACATCATTTACAAGACTTGTCAAATTATAAAAAGTGTGAAAATTAAATGATGTGTACTTAAGATACATTCAATGCAATCTATAAAGATAGCAAGACAAATGGGTCTGTTTCATTATTTGTCAGGTAAAAACACCCATAGTTGTAGCGACACCCATGCATTTACACTGTGCAAACACTGTGGTCTATTGTACCTCCATGTCATTTTCCCAAAAGGAAGTCACACATAATTGCGAGTCTGAATGTCAGGTGTGTGTGTGTTCTGCTCGTACCCTCACAGGACTGCCGTCCGCTCCTCAGGCTGTATCCCGCGGTGCACATGCAGGAGCGGGTGGAGGGAGACGTGGGCAGACACAGCTGAGAGCAGTCACCATTGTTGTTACTGCACATGTTTGAACCTGATTATACAACACACACAGTTAAGGCCAGCATTAGCATTGCATCACTTGCAGTGGATTCTCTGCAGTGAATGGGTGCCGTCAGAATGAGAGTCCAAACAGCTGATAAGAACATCACAATAATCCACAAGTAATCCACACCACTCAAGACCATCAGTTAACATCTGGAGAAGACAAAAGCTGCATGTTTGTAAGAAACAAATCCATCATTATAGCATTTTTAAGACATTGTTTTGAGCTAAAATACGAGTCCATAATCCATAGTAATGCTTCCTCCTGTGAAAAAGTCATCTGGTCTGAATCAGGAGAGAAATCTGCACAGATCAAGACATTAACTGATGGACTGGAGTGGTGTGGATTACTTGTGGATTATTGTGATGTTTTTATCAGCTGTTTGGACTCTTATTCTGACGGCACCCATTCACTGGACAGGATCCATTGGTGAGCCAGTGATGTAATGATACACTTCTTGAAATTCGTTCAGATGTAGAAACAATCTCATCTAAATCTTAGATGGCTTGAGAGTTAGTACATGTTCAGCAAATTTTCATTTTTAGGTGAACTATCGCTTTAAATTAAGTCATGGTCATTCTTTTCAGCACAAACAATCCCTTTTTTCGATGCTAATGTGGCTCATTGTAGGCCCAATGAACTAGCTTGAAAATGGCAATTTGTGCTCAGCACAGATTTTTTGGGCTGTCAACTGAATAATTCCTTATACATTGCATGCAGTTGATTCTTGAACCTGTCTGCACGGTCTCATTGTAGATCTTCATGTGCATCATGGGAGACGTGCTGTTTCTCAAGACCTTCCAGTCTCCTCCATCACTCTTATCACAGGTGCCGATCTCATCCGTGCCCTGATCCGCCCACCACAGCTTATCACCTACACAACATCAGTCATAACATTAGTATTTTTAAAAAGACAGCCAATTAAACGATCAGTGCTATATTTACCCATGATAGCCAGTGCAGAGGCTTTGTTGAGTTTGCCTTTGACCGCGTCTAACACCTCCAGCCCTGATCCGTCCAGCTTACAGCGGTTAATGGTGCTGTTTCCTGAGCTGATCCAGTACAGATGCTCGGTGTCGTAGTCTATGGAAAGACCTGCAGCACAGACATGACCAGCAGCTCAAAAGGATGCAGATGTGCTTTATAATTCTCAGTGGTTTCTGAACTGTTTAAAAATGTTTTTACTGGTTTATGCTAGAGCACTGCACAAGTTTTTAGAAAGAAGGTCATCAGACACATCCGGGTCTCATGCTTATAATCATACAGATAACAGTTTACAATAAGGTTCCATTTATTAACTACATTAGTTGACATGAATCAACAATGAAAAATACTTCTAAAGCATTATAAATTATTAAAATCAAAAGTTGCATCTGTTAATATTAGTTCAATCATGCCAACTCTCGGAATGAATTTTACCAGCATTTATTAGTAAGCATGGAATGTACATAGGCTTGGTCTTGGCGAACTAGATCTGCTACACTGCTGCTGAAGGAGTAAGGATACATCTGAAATGCACATGAAACAGTGACTTGAATTCAGACTGCTGCAAGGAAAATAGGGAGAACCCCCCCAAGCAGATCTAGGCAAGTGGTGCTGGGGATGGTGGAGGGTTAGTGAAATCCCATGGCGCTGCAATGAACTGATTCGATAAGTCAGGAATAAATAGGTTACGTAGATAGGAACAAACAAATGATTGGATGAAGCAATCAGCTTTAAGTAAACCAATCAGCTGCTCAGAAGAGTTTCATGACTGAACTAGATATTTAATGGATCGGAGCTACTGTAACATGGACTATGAATTTTATTGTTTAAAAGAGATTAATAAATACTGTAACAAGTGTATTGCTCATTGTTATTTCATGTTGGTAATTAACTAATGTTAACAAATGAAATCTTATTGTAAACTCCTACCTGTTACATGTCTGTGGTGATTTTCCTTTGACCTAGTTTCCCTTGTTGTATTGATTATGTCATTCTGTTCACCTGTGTTCCATTCATTAAGTCATTAATCCCTCACTTGCTTTTACTCCCTGTTCTGTTCAGTCCTTTGCCGGTTATTGTTTGGTTCTATTGTGTTGGGCTTTACATCCCCCCCTCCCCCCTCCTTGATTAATTAAATACAGGGCTCAACAGTAATGATTCAGTCTGCTTGCCCAGTCAGGCCAGTAGTTCAGATTTCTACTTGCCATAATTTACACAGTATTTTTTATTTATTTATTTATTTATTTTTTGGAATGTAAAGTTATAATTTTATATTTACTTACATTAAATGTATTAATTTAAGAATAATAAAATAGTAAATAATAGAAATAATAAAATAATTTAAAATGTTGTAATGTTGTCATTTTACATTGTTTTATGTACAGTATTTTGCATAATTTAAAAATTAATGATTTATTATACATTTTTCACATAGAAATAATTATTTTTCATCAAATACTCAGTTTAAAAATTGGCAATAACAGATCTTAAAAGGTTACAGGAAACTCCAAGACTTTCGCAACAGAAATGTCACAGAAAACCAGGTGCAGTAGCGCTTTGGGCGACCTGAATTGGAGTCCCGGCTTGAGGTCCTTTCCTGATCCATTTCCTGTCTCTCCACACATTGCTCCCTGTCAACTCTACACTATTTTATGTAATAAAGGTAAAAAATAAAAAACTAACAAAAAATCTAAAGAATGTAATAGACTGAACCGCCTAAACGGTTGTTGTAAGCTCAGAAGTACACAAATGATAATTAAGAGGATCATTCTAATATTATCTCCTTAAGTAATGCATCTGTCTGATTAGTTATACCACACAGTAGAGGTCTACACGGGTCCAAAAATTCGTACCCGAACCCGAAGAGACCCGTAAATGTGCTACACTGAACCGACCCGGACCCGTCTATTATTTTGAAAGTTGGACCCAGGCCCGTGCAAAACCGAGAAATGTCAAAAATGTACTACCCGGAACCGATGCGGACCGTCAATTATTTGAAAGATGGACCCGAACCCGGCCGGGAAGACACAGACCCGACTGGACCCGATCGGCACATATTCCACAGCAAATTGCTATTAACAAGTCGATAAACAAGTTGCGAAAATTAAACTTTTTGTCTTACCTAATGTAAGAAGCCTTCTCCCTTGTACCTGACTATGATGCACACAATCCTCCTTGCCAAAAAAGTTCCATCCGTGTTATTCCTCTCTTGCCAATTGAAACGCGTAATCCACTCATTATTCCAGTTTCAAAAGTCCACTTGCTGTCACGGTGACGGATGACAAATGCAACTTTGCAGTTTTGCATTTTTTGTATCTCGAGTCAACTTGCATAATAATTTAGACTGTTTGCCCATTTGGATTATAATAACGATTGCTCGTCCAGTGCCATGGCTGCTGACGTTAGCTTTACTTATTTGCTATCATCTCTGTGCTCTCTGAGCCGAGTCTGAGCAAAAAAATGTAGATATAACAACAAGATGGTTCATTCATAATATTATT